TAGGGGGAAACTATTGGCTAGCTGATTCTGTCCCCGCTCTGTAATAGTAACTAGGGGGAAACTATTGGCTAGCTGATTCTGTCCCCGCTCTGTAATAGTAACTAGGGGGGAAACTATTGACTAGCTGATTCTTTCCCCGCCCTGTAATAGTAACTAGGGGGAAACTATTGGCTAGCTGATTCTGTCCCAGCTCTAATAGTAACTAGGGGGAAACTATTGGCTAGCTGATTCTTTCCCCGCTCTGTAATAGTAAGTAGGGGGAAACTATTGGCTAGCTGATTCTTTCCCAGCTCTGTAATAGTAACTAGGGGGAAACTATTGGCTAGCTGATTCTTTCCCCTTTCTGTAATAGTAACTAGGGGGAATCTTATGTCCTTCTTCACCCAGGACAAATCTCATTTCCTGAATGAGTATCCTTTATGGATGATCAGTATATCTTATACATAGACACAGATAAATATTTTATTTCCTTCCTCATCCCAGACAAATTCTCACTTCCTGAACATGAGTTCTCTATTGGTCAGTATATCTTATACATAGACACAGATAAATATTTTATGTCATTCTGACATGTAATGTAATTGTCTTTGCTTTACAGGCTCTCTACCTGATTGCCACTAATGGCAAGCCTGACATCAAGGAGAAGAACAAACTATCACCAGTCTTCCAGGACTTCCTTGATAAGTGTCTGGAGGTCGATGTGGACAAGAGATGCTCAGCCTCCGAGCTACTCAAGGTAAATAGCTGAAATGCTGATCCAGCAGTCTTTGATATCAATTGAATTTATAGATTATATAGGAATACAAGACAAATACTTGCGATCCCCATTATTCATAATTAAAGGGAACTCTGAAAAAATTGGTTTACATTCCTATACTATTGCTTTAAACAAAACTTTTATAAACCTTGCACAATCTCTTTATAGTATCCAGCAGTTAATTTATTCCATCCTCCAGAATTTGTCGTCTGTCTGTCAACTTTTCACTAAAACCCCTACTAGTATAAGATGAATGGGTTTTACCTAATGTGGTGTGGATCATTGCTAGGCTAAGGGGAATTAATTTTGTATAAAGGAAGGGTGATGCCACACTTTGGGAAGAAGGGAAGGACCCAATAGGGGAAATATAGGCACATTTTGTAAATCGATGAGAGAATTTTGATCTACATTAATCTTGAGCATCCTTGAGCCCAGAGAACTCAAGTTTGTATAAGTGAAGGATGTGGCCGCTCAGGGAGAAGAGGGTTGGCCCCAATAAGGGAAACATAAACAAATTTTTAACTTTTACTTCTTGAATGTCGGTAGAAAGGATTTTAGCCCAAAATCAGTCTAGAGCATCCCATAGAGCCAAGGGGACGCAACCCAGTGTTCCTAGCTTTATGATGTCAGACCCAGTGTTCCTAGCTTTATGATGTCAGATTGGCATGGGATGAGCTTACATTGTGCCGCTCTGCAGTGCTCTTATTTTCATTTATAAATGCAGTAGGATTACAATTCTATCATAAATGCTAAAAAACAAACAGTTATGAAAAATAAACATACATACAACAAATTTATGAAACATGTTCTTAAAATTCATTTGTCTGTTTCATATAAAAAAAAACTTAGACCCCTCGGCCTTCCTTTTGTTACTTTATGTCTAACCACTGTCTTTCCTACATTAGGATTGCCAATTCATCTCTGCACAAATACATATATATATATTTAAATATACATGAAATGTTTTTATAGAGACAATTCTTTTGCTTTCATTCCATACATGTCAGATGTGTGTATCTTGAAAGTAAGCCTATATATTTGTTTAGAATTGATTTTAATTTCATTGATTACAATTTGAAATAAGTACAATTATTTTGTATTTTACAGCATCCATTTTTGCGGCTTGCTAAACCACTGGCAAACCTTCAGCCGTTGATTCTGGCTGCCAAGGAAGCTCAGAAAGGACATTAGGTCAACGTGAGTTGAATTGTTATACAACGGCTATACACACTTAACAACCCTGTATCTGTTGAGAATGTCTGAACCCTGATCTGTTGGTATCAGTGTGTTGGATTTCATGTGCAATGAAATGGATGTGTGTGTGGAGAAATGAACTCTGTAATTGTGACCTGTTTTGAAATGGACATGTTTGGCAAATATTGAAATGATTTGATTGATATAATATCATAAAAGGTAGTTATAAACATTTGTTTTGCAATGATTGCTGTTTTCTTTATGGAGGTAGTTACCTAGGTTCTCTTTGTTAACCAAGTCAGTGACCCATAATTTTTGTTCACAGATAGTTGCTGACCGATGGATTCTGACAGCAAGTCTATGATGACATAGCTTTCTTTGTGGAGGAGGAAGGACGTTTGACCACATAGCTAGCTTCATCATTGAATCGCCATGTTGACATGGCGTGTGAGATGCCAGTCTTCCGACATTAGCTTAGTCCACGAAAGTGATGTACTTACCCAGAATCTGCAGCTTTGGTTGTTAACAATACAAGCAACATTGCTGATTGTGGGAATGGTGATGTGTTCCTTCATGTCTGTGGAAGAATGTGCCCTTTTCAACATAAGGCTGATCTATTAATGGAACTATGAACCCGCAAAGAACCAATTAATGCATCTATGAACCTACATGGAAAGGATTTATTGATGCTCTTGTGAATTATATGGAAATGTCCTCTTCATTGAACTGTGAACCCACACAAAACGGTCTGATTGATTGAATAGTCAATCCATACAAAAGGAAATGATTCTTTGTTCTGAACCTTATTGGAAAGGACCAATTCATGAAAGTGTAAACCTACATCAGACGAAAGCTCCTGTCACTTGACTGGATTTTGTTGAAAAGCATTCTATTTCTACTCAAGTATCTGTGAGGTTTAAAGTCTGATAGGAATAGTTCCTGGTAATCAGTAGCTAGATGTGTACATTGAGGGAATGTGTTTTTGAAAAAAAGAAGAAATAGTGCTCGTGTAATTTCGTTATAACAGTAAATATATAGTCTGTACTCTGTGTGGCTATTAGAATATTTTCACCAGTAAATAATTAAAAATGCAGATCATATTTTGCCATTATAATCTTTTTTATTCTATTAAACTTAAGGTGTAGTAATGGTAGCCGGTTTCTGCTTTCACCTTGAAGTGTAAAATGTAAGATCTTCATGCAGACATTAATAAAGTTGAAGTAAAATTGCTTGATCTGCTTCAACTGTTTCAATGATCATTATGCACAGGTAATGTATTATCATTAAAGGCAATAGGAAAAAATTTAGAATAGAACAACAAGGAAATCTTAGTAGATATGACTTACAGTAAAGTTGTTATAATTGTATGGCAATATGCTGTTAAAATGACCTTGCATGTAAGAGTGAAGAAGCTTTATTTAACGTCGCATATACATGTAACATAATAACATTAGCACTGTAGTGCTATTCTTGCGACCATGTAGTGGTTGCTCTGCTGATTATTAATGAAATAGCAATATCCTTCTGAATTTTCTTTGTCATGACTTGTCGAGCATGCGTCAGTTTTATTGTATGGACCCATTTTATCAAGTTAATAGTCAAACCATGTTTAACAGAAAAGGCATTGTTTTGTCTCTCCCAAGCCAACCCCAGGCAATAACAGAAATACTCAACAAACCATAGTCTCTATCAGACTACAGTCTATGTACCCAGTACAGTATTACAGCCAGCTGTGTACCAGGGATCACAGCCTATATACCCAGTACAATATTACAGCCAGCTGTGTACCAGGGATCACAGCCTATGTACCCAGTACAGTATTACAGCCAGCTGTGTACCAGGGATCACAGTCTATGTACCCAGTACAATATTACAGCCAGCTGTGTACCAGGGATCACAGTCTATGTACCCAGTACAATATTACAGCCAGCTGTGTACCAGGGATCACAGTCTATTTACCCAGTACAATATTACAGCCAGCTGTGTACCAGGGATCACAGCCTATATACCCAGTACAATATTACAGCTAGCTGTGTACCAGGGATCAAAGCCTATATACCCAGTACATAATTACAGCCAGCTCTGTACCAGGGATCACAGAACTTTTACCTTACACTATAACCATAAGTCTACAAACACCGGAGACTCGAGCTCTCATGGCGTTAGACAGAAACCAAATTAACCCAACCTTGCTCTACACTGCTTATTGCCTGATATTATACTGTGGTTCTTACATCAGTCAACTAGTTAATGAGAGTTTAGCATTTATTAAATATGTACTGTCTCCAAATGTTGCAGAAATTAAACTTTTGAAATAGAACCACTACAGAGAAGAATTTACCAATCAAATTGATTCATTTGATGAATACCGTGTATTTTCCAAGCAATTGATGTATTATTGGAGCCCATTACTCGGATGGAGAGACAGTGACTGGTGAACAAGGACATTTTATTTCTATTTAACTAATTGCAAAAACATTCAAACCAAATATAACCCTATTGAGTATAATGTTAACCCTTCACCACTGTAGACCATAATGAACTCATCCATATCAATGCATGGTAGAGTCTACTAAAGTTACATAGGGCTGACAGGGTTAAATGATACTATGATGCTGTAGGTAGTTAACATATTATTGTCTGCTGAGCAGATTCATGCTACATATGTACTATGTAAACAATTAATTATTTGTATACAAACATGAGCAGATTTGATAAAATCATCTTTATTGTAATGCATAATATGAAGATAAATATTTATAGCTTTTGGTACGAAATTGATGTAATGCCTGTACAGATAGTTGGTGGAAACCCATGATATGCAATGAAACCTTGTTAATGTGGACTCATAGGTCATTTAATGTTCATTGGAGGCCAAGGTCTTCTTGAGACCAGCAGAGGTCAGGGTTATGTAAGGTCATTGAACCCAGGGGTTATGTTAAGGAGTAGCAACATAGTATATATATGATCCATTAAGTGTCTAGATTTCTCAAGATTGTATGAGTGAACTAACAAGATGGCATTGAATATCATATTTGCATATTTCTGTGCCTTTGTTTTGCTACATATTTTAAATATAGCAGCCGAAATTTTCAAGTTTTATAAGTTTGCTCAATTTACGATTTCTTACTGATAGCTCCTGTGTCACCGATTTTCTCAGTCATATTTTGCATGTTTTAATCAAAAGAATGAAAGTTGATTGCATTTGTGACCATATATGTACTACAAAGGATCTTCATTATCCAGAAATCTGTTTTGTTTTAAATCGTACAAGATTTGTCAGTACCCCATAAAAACGTGAAGAAACATTTTATTCTAGATTCTGAATATAGAAGTCCCCTTGAGTCCACACTTACAAGTTATTACCTTACATCTGTATAGCAGTACATCTCTACAATTGAATACGATTTTTCCAAATGTAGCTTTAGGCCTGTTCTAGTTTAAACAAATTCCAGCTTTAGGGAAAATAAAATCGATTTTGTAGCAAGTTGGATTTTAAGAGGTCATTAGATACATAGTGTATACATTATATGAACCATTCTTCTGTCTTTGATAATGGAGGATAATTTTAGATGGAAAAGATCTCAGATGTTCCATGAAATTCAAAAGATTAAATTTGAAGTTAATTATGTGATTTCTGGGATTTATCACTAATAACATAATAAAATGAAGAAAAAACAACGAAAAACTACACTATTCCAGAAAAGTAAAATCTAACATAAAATTTGAGTAACCAGTTCACATTTCTGGTCAGCTGATGAGTGAGAGAGGATGAAGTTGAGTGTGATTATAACAGTAGCCAACACTACTGTTATTTAACTATCAACAGTTACCTATAATTATCAACAACCACAGACTATATCTCTAGTTATATCTACAAACTGTTATAATAGTGCTAGCTGTGCGGGTCGTTCCTAATACCTGTACCTTTATTGAATAGGATCACTAATAGTGCTGATAGCTATTACATGGTGTTGGTTCCTCCCTTAAATGTAGTGCACACTACACATATCTGTCGTCATGCCATTTGTGTTCTGGCTATGGATGTAACACATTTTCTATTTCATATGTATTCTGATACACTTGCAAATTCATATTATGTATTTTAGAATTAACCAAATCTAAGTCTGCCACTTTGAAAATATGCCAGGTACACCCAGTAATTTCTGTAGAATTTATGCAGGTGAGTCTGAACATCTTTGTAAAAAGTTTGATGAGTCCCCTAACTAAGAGATCATTTAGCTAGTGTCTTGCAAAACCTTAACAATATTAAGGTTGAAATTCGTTTTACATATTTAATTGTATATTTGAAAATTACAACGTTATTTATGATACTAACCATATATGTCAAAATCAGTGTCGAATGCAATTCAACAACATAAAATAATGGCTCAGAAGGTCAGCATGCAATGAGAACATTTAAGATTCACCCTGCAATAAACCAAGTGTCCACCTAAAATCTTAAGCTGATAATTGGTAGCAAAAATAGCCCATGCTTACTTTTAATGAAGTGTGTTTTAAAATCTATAAAGAATTATTGCCTACACCTGATTGATTGTGAACTGAACGGTTGTTCCTAATTTTATGCAGCCATGGTTACACTATGTATATTGTATAATGCTGCCCATCCCAGCGTTCCTAAGGAGATGTCTTCCACTTCTTATTGCTTTGCTTAAGATCGTAATCGCGGCGAACTATATATGGTGCTATGTATCACTGGTGTGTTAGGATATTTAGTACCCCAGTATCACACTTCTCACTCCTTATAACACTGTAATACTTGGCCAAGTAACTGTCTGTTTTCTAGTGTAGATATATGTTCCTCTAAAATTGTTCTAGTATGCGTACATCTATTTAATTATGTGGGTTCAAAATTTTAAGTAATTTAAGATGTAATGGTTTATTTTCAGAAAATATTTGCTTGTTGATAGGACTAGATTTGCAGAAGCTACAGCGTAATTATATTTATTGGCATGGATTACTCAAAACAGACAGACATGTAATTGCTCATAATTAGGTTTTGGCATACATTTTTTTCTTCTGTATTTAATTAACTACCATTTTGTTTAAGATAAAAACATGTTTATTCCTGTCTGTGAGTGGTGTGATGATTCTGATATTTCGTAAGCGTATTCCAGTTTTTCATTATGGACCTTTCCTTATTGACATAATAAATCACTTTTAATTTCCGTCAAACATCGCGACTGTAGGTATAATACACACTTTATCGTTTGATAAGAAAGAAGTGACAAAAATATTACAAACAACAAAAATATTACAAACTTAAATTTGAAATTGAATTATAATTGTTTGGATCGACTCACAGTATCCTTTCCTCCTTTGATAGGCCAGTTCTAATTGATGTGATAAATTGCATTCAAAAGAAATACAATCATCAATTTCAATCAGTGTTTCAATCAAGTAATATCTGTCAGTTTCTGATATTGTTGAGATTTACAAGATTCTAAAAGGCAACTATTGAATGTGATTTAGCTGGTTTGTGATGCATTTGATGTTTAGTATCCTGATATTTAGAGAGCTTGTGTACGTCGTTCATGCTGTATGTGTGCAATTAGCTTCATATCTCAGCTTGCATATTCGCCGGTCCTGTTGTATAAGATGTGTGTAACTATTAATTCGATATCTCGGTGATTCGTTTGTCAGGAGCAACTCGCCATCCACCAATGTTAGTGTGTTATATTCATATCAAAATATGCATCCCACCCATTCTTCCCCATTGATCATACTGTTTGTCTATTCATTAAGGGCATCATGACACTAGGTCGGCTTGTCCATACGAGATTTCACCCCTATAAGTAACACTGTTATATGAACAATGTCCACTTACATTATGCATCATAAACTACTTTACTTTGTTAGATGGAGAGTATGCCATCACTGAACTCTTGCTTCACATGTACTAGTCATTCTGTAGCCAAACATTTGGTGTAGACTTACCATACTGTAGCCAAACATTCGGTGTAGACTTACCATACTGTAGTTGTACCAGTGTAGCTTGTTTTTATAAAGTCGATGTAAACGACATGGTTCATAGTTATATGGACGATAAAAAGAATAATAAAAAACAATTATTAAAATTCAGAAAAAAAATCTGTTTTCTGTATCAGATTCGGTTACAACACGTTTCTGTATTAGTTCTGTATTTAGCTGAGTTTCAGCCTTTGTTTTATGTATCGGTAACCATGGATTGATAAAATGCAATTAGATGCCACCGTAAATTGTGGATGAAATAAAGAAAGTGAGGGGGCCATTGTAATGTTCACATGTGACGAATAAAAACAGTAAGGATGGTGAATGCTAGTAGTAAAACCAAGCTAAACGCCTCACAACATGTAATGTTCACATGTGACGAATTAAAACAGTAAGGATGGTGAATGCTAGTAGTAAAACCAAGCTAAACGCCTCACAACATGTACCATATTCTTAGTACCATAAAGCAGGCTTACAGCCATACTGTGACGCTATCCTTTAGTGGAGCTCAATAGATCTTTAGATAATTTTGAAATTCTTCTGTCTGAGTATTGACAATCTTTACAATACATTACCCCAAACCAAGCATATGGGAGGCCTCGTCTACCTATTCTGAGAGGTTTCTCTCTAGGCAAAT